TCGACATTTGTTCGCTCAATACTTGTAAGTTTAGTATGTAATATACTAAAATGATAAACTAATAAATACGAGCATGTATCAATCCATGCTTTTATTTTATCAAAATTAGAACAAAATTAATGTAGTCGAAAAATTATTTTCTATATTTATTTTTAGAATTTAACGACGATCATAGCAAGTTATGAAATAAATTAAATTTTAAATAAAGTTAAATAAAATGTAAATATTAAACAAATATGTACCTATATTGTTATTATAAATATAATTAAATATATTTGGTAACATAAATTTTCTAATATAATTTTTAAACTATAATAAATATAAAATTGTACTCATTTTTGCAATTTTTTAGAGCATATTTTGCTATTTTTTAGAGCATTAAAATCCTAATCATTACTAATACAAAGTACTTCCGTTTTTACGTTGTGTATTGTAATTTTTATTTTATGTTAAAAGTTTCTTTATTATAATTCAATTTAAGATGCACTTCTGAAGTGTACTAACTTATTTAATATTTATTAAAAAAATTAAAAATTTTCCTGTATCTCCCTTAATCATCTACTGAACTTAAAGTGTATTTTTTTTATATTTATATTATTTATGTGAATAGGGCTTTTAGATTTTGTTGGTTATACTTCAAATATGAAGAACCTGTATTTTTATTTTAAGTTTTAATTACATTTTAAGTATGTATGTCTGTTTATTACATATAGTTATTTACTAGCTAGTGCTACCATTAAATTATTTTAATAAATTAGGGCCGGACAAATGTGTTGAACGTTTTGTTATGTCTTGACTTCCAGCCAGTATTTTTCGTTGAACATAAATTAAGTAGTAATTATTTTTAACTTAAATTAAGACATTTTATCTTCTTATGATATTTTATGAACTTCAAAAAATTAAGTTTTAATTTGGCCTTAATTAATTATTGAAGAATCTGTTATTAAAGAAACACGAAATCTTTAATAAATAAAAATAATTTTATTTTTCGAATAATTTAAAAATGTAAGTATTAATTCAGGATATATATATATACTTTTATATGTAATAAATCATTTAATAAACGATATTATATGTTACGAATTACGAACTACGAATCTATGATCATTATTTTTTGAAATTCAAATTTAATTAGTATTAAAAAAAAAATATCTTGAATATCAATTAAAAGGTAAATTACGTTGATTTACGATATGTTTATTTATGTGACATCAATAATTTCCTTTATTTTAAAAAGCTGTTTATTAAGCTTTGTTTAACAGGTTAGTTAATTCTTATGACATCTTTAATTCAAATATGACTGAAATATTTACGTTTTCGACTTAGCTATTCTTAATGATTTAATAAAACATGAAAAACCATAATTTTTCTTTGTGTATTAAATGCTTGTGTATTTATGTAGTTTAAGTTAATAAAATTGTAAAAAATGCTTCATATTTATAAAATAATGTATTTTTAATTGTTGATAAGTAAAAAAAAAAAAGGTATTAAGTCAAGTGGTACGCGGATATAAAAAGGTTTGGAACCGCTTCTCTATATATTTTAAGTTTACAGTTGATATTTAATTTTGATACGTGGTAGAACGACATGATGTCAATGTACGGTTCACAATTTTTTTTTTTTAATTTAAAAGTCACCCGAGACACTAATGCTCGTCAATTGCTAGATTGCGTGTTTATTTGTATATATTATTTATTTTTAAGTGATATTGGTGCATGTGTACTAAGTTTGAAAGTAATTAAATAGAGTTTAATTTTATTATATTTTTTTTCCAAAATTTGGATTTACAACAATATTTTGTTATTTTGTTAGCATTGAAACATGATTATTATTATTTAATCGCTATTGCAGATTATTTTTATAATATTAATAACTAGTTAAAATTCGGTGAAATAATAGAGTGTTCTAGCAATTTTTTTTTTATATTCCCATCGGCAGTTAATTTTAATAATTTTGTAATTAAAGTAATTAAGTAAATTAGATGGATTAATAAACAAGTTCAAAGAAGTTTAAAAACAAATATATTTATATTGGCTCTTTTTTTTAACTAAATAGTTTAAGTAACAATGCTAATGTTTTTAATAAACAGATAAATAATTATATTGTTTTTTGGTATTGGTTGTAAAGTTAATCTATTATATGGCGGAGATTACAATTTTGTTGACCATTTTTAAGATCTTCGAGTTCTTTTTTAGTATAATATTTATAGATATGAATATATTTTTGTATACATACATTTGTATATGATATTGTATATCAAATGTTGCAAACGTGCAATATCGTTCCAGGTGGTTTGGGTTTTTTATGACGGTTATGCTATATTATTATTATTACGTGTGTGTTTAGGCGACAAATGTTTGCACTAAGAGGGCGATAAAACGGTAGAAAACTCTCATGAATATTAAACCGGGTAGGACGATACGAACTCGACGTTCCTCTCTCAGATCTTTTATGCGACCACCAGCCGGGTTGAGATTCCGAATATTTCGGCAGTTACCACACGTATGCTACTTCTGGAAAAGCACAATTTCATGTTAACTTAACCTTTCTGCATTGAGTTATTTTTAAACAATTATTTTTTTACTTTATATTTTTTATACATTTTCTTTGAATTAATCATCGGAATTAGTTTTTGTTTGACGTGACTTGGTAGGATGTTGTTCGCTTTATTTTTAGGTCATTAGTTTTAAATATATTATGTAATTACAATATTAAAATATCTGATTAATAATGGGAGAAATATCATTCTAACATATTATGTTTATGCTTTTATACTTTTCAATGGAAGTTGTTTGCATGATTAAATTATGAACTCACTTGAATTAATTTAATTTTTTTATTTTAGCTTTATGTAATGTTTAATTCAATTTTTATTAAATCAAAATTATTCTGAAAAAATATAATTTTTTAAAATTGTTGTGTAAGTTTATTATAACGAATACAAGAGGAGGGAATATTCTGTGTCATTTAATCCTTATGACTCTTTTCTAATAATTGTACCGATTGAGACAAAAAAATCACGGTGTACAATATTGTATACCATGTTAAAAGCTATAATTTCTCGTAAACTTATTATAATATTATCATGACAGCTATATTACAACATCAGTTTTATCCTCTCATTTTTCGTAACATATCATGAGCTAAACCTTTTTAAAACATTTTATATTTTTTAATTAAATTGTGATAATGAAAATATAGTAATTCATTATACCTATTTATGTGAATTTTGTGTTTTGTGTGTATGAAATAGATTTAGAAACTATTTTAAGTATGTTCGTGAAATTTTTTAGAATATAATGTCTGATTTTTTAGAATTAAAATTTTAATGATTTATTAATTTATAATACATAAGTAATTATTTTAAATATAGGATATCATCTGTTGGTTTTATTAATACTTATGTTTATTTAATTGCAGAAATAACGTCACCTTAATTTTTTATTTTTCATAATAATAGGTATTTGAGGATTGTTTTATTTTTATTATTTCACTAAATATTTATCTTAAGATTTTCTTTATTTTGTTTTGAACTTAAATGACCTAAAAATGTTTTGAATATTCATCATTATTATTTTCTTATTTTAAAGTTTGTTATAAATGAGTGTTTCATTTAATTTATTACTGGGATAAAAATAATAAAATAGTGTTCTTGTTTTTAATATACCTTGAAATTAAGTACAGTTGAAGATTAGGTACTTAATAATTATATATTTATTTGCTATATTTTAGTCTTATATATTATTCAATCAGTTTACTTATTAATTTACAATAAGTATATTGAGAATCCTAAATCATATTCTGGTATGCATATTTTATTATATATATACATGTTTCAAGTTTTTATTGTTTTTTTTGTAATAATTTATGTTAGTAATTTAATAAATTTTTGAGTAACTATAAATTTATTTATTTATTTCCGAGATTTTTATTAATTTGTAAAATTTTAATATTTTTAATTATTTTTTAATTTTACTGCTAAAAATATATATATTTTAGCTAGGTGTTTTTAATTAAATGTTACAAGAAAAAAAAAACATTTCAGAAATCACTTGTAAATATACTTCTAACAAATGTTAGTAGTTACTATATTTATTCAAAATAAAAATATTCATTGTTTTTAATTTAATATATAATATTATATAAAGTTAAACATTTGTTTAATAAATTTAAACAGATAAGTATGTTCAAATAATATTTTATTGGTTAGTTAATACCTAATAGTACTTGATTCCTCAACCTAATAAGTCGTTAAATAATTATTGTGCTCATAAATACGTTAACATGTTATTTGTCAGCTCATTATTATTCAACAGAGTCTTGCGTCTAAATGTTGGGTATCGACCTTTTTGATGTTACCCTTAACGTTGAGAATTTAACCAAATAGACTGAAGGGTGAATTTGTCATTCGCTAATCAATGTTTCATTGATCTATGGTTTACTTCGGTGTACTATATGACTACTGGTGCTTTGGTTAATTCTCACTAAAACCTTAACATTTTTCAATGTCAAACTACCCCAATGTCGTTCCTTCTTTTCGTCTTTTGAATTCATGACCCTCTTTTTGCTAGTTGGTTCTGTATATGACGGAATGGATTTTAAATTTATCTTATATGATTTATTTAAGTATAGTTAGTCATAATATTTAACTGCATTATGCGCACTTATTATAAGTACCTGAGTTCACTTATCTTTATCATTAATATTTTGTAGATAGACTGTTAACTATTTACTTTTATACAAATATTAATTTAAATATATTAGATACGTTTAATTAGACATTTGGTTAGTTTAATTTTAAATTAGGAAACAAATTGGGCTTAAAAATTTTGAAATATTTATGTGCTCGTTGTATATTCACTTTTCTTAATAGAAACAACATTTTTGATCTTATAATAATAATATTCTCCAATTCGTTAAATTTACGATAAAGATTTTCTAAATATTTTTCTTGATAAATATAGAATTTATTTTTCATTTTATATTGTTATTTGTTCTAGATGTTTAAAATATACTTGTAACTAGATATATGTAACTACGGGAGTTAAATTTTGGTGATGGACGTCGATCCGTTATGTGGCTTGTCAGACTGTTCATCTACGTCGGTTCGATCATCTTGGAGTAGTTCAGCAGAAAACAGCGAGGACGAATGGCGACATAAAGTAGATGAGTTGCGATGGTACATTGATCCGTCATTGATGCAGGATGGTAATACCGTCAAACACATAGGCAAATATGAGGTTAGTTCGATTAATATATAAAGAGAAATAATTGTAAATATAAATGTAAATACTGTGTTGGATAAATCGACAATTTTATGATTTAAGCCCTATAATTTTTTAAGTATAATTTATGTTTGTGTTTTTTCTTGCATAAAAAGGATTTTTTTAATGTTTTATACTGGAAAAATTTGAAATAAGTGCAGATGGTTTTAACTTTTAACCGATTCAATATCCCCGAGAGATTTGAATAGTATTGTAGGCTTCTTCGATTTTGTTGGTCCTGCCAACAATGAGGAAAAATTTATAAAGTATAAAAACAAAAAAAAAATAACGATTTTTCATAAAATATATAAGATGGTACTTACACTCGCATAATAGTATATATTTTGTGTATCACATAAAGTTTAGTTATTGTTAAATTTGAATTATTATAGTATGACGATGCAGTAGACATATTTCACTGATGCAAACGAATATAACATTTAAGTTCGTTAAATTAACTTAAAGGCCATTTTTATCTCCAGGTTAGATAGTACAGAGTAACACATCAGTCGTATAATATATATTTTTATATATTTTTAATAGATGCAGAAATGTAGGTTTATATATTTTTTTTTTTTTAGATTTATAGCCAAAGAAACACTAAATGTATTTAATCAATTTAATAATTTATCGTAAAAATAAAGTATTAAAGAAAGAGATGCATTGAATGAATAATTAAAACTTCAATATTGAAATCAATCATTTATAACATTAAATTTATTCAGAAAAATGTATTTATTTTATATTTGGTTTACTTATGCATAAATAGTGGTGAAATAAAAATAGTTTTCATTTGGTCACGTTTTAAATAAAAGACATACAGGGGCAGAAAAATCGAGGGTGATTCGGTTATCTCTAGGGTGCATTTGTGTTTGATAATCATACTGTATATTAAATGCCATTTCATTTAAATTTGAATTTTATTACTTTACAGCTTCCGTTCCATCACGTACTTGATGTAGGGGGGATACTTTTCCTATTATTATAACCCCATTTAAAGATTTAGGTTGATCATTTAACACTTAAGTACTATATTCTAAAAGTGTAATAATATTTAAATTGATTGTTACTAAAACATCTTTGAGCATTTTATTTTTTAAATATAATCATTAGATTAATATTTTTGTAATTTCTTAATAAATGTATGTATTCATTAAAAACGTAACTTTATAGCTCAACAGTATATTTAAAATACCAGGCACTATATAGTAGTTGTATTTGTTTTGTGATATTTAATATTTATGTCAAACTAAAAATGTTTTACATTAATTAGTTTCCGAAAGACTAAAAGTTAAATATATTTAGTTGCGTATTTTTTTTTACTGCAAAATGATTGTCTATTACCTACATTAGATTATTTTAATTTGAGCTCTAGTTATATTATATTTTAAAATACATTTTTTACTTCATTCCAATTAGCTTTGATTACAGTAAATATATTTTTATTTTTTAGTTGTATTAAACATTTTAAATGATGAATAATTGAATGGATAATTAATTGGATAATCTTCGTTTTTTCAATAGTTTTTATCATAAATTATCAATAGTGGTCGAAGGGTTACGCAATAATCGCTAAACATTGTTGGTTTCCCGCGATCGTTGATTAGTGTTGATGTAATGTATTGGACTTAAACGATAAAAGTAAATATACGAGGGTCGTTTACAGCAGAGTTGGTTATGCGTTTCTGCTTCTGTAGGTATGTACCATGTATAGTCATTAAAACAGAGCTGCAAAACTTTCTTCGAGGCGCGTACATTTATATAGTGTTATTAAATGTCACCGCTATGATGAGCAACGATTTCTCGTGGTTATTATTTTGTGCGTGTATATAGCCCTAAACTAACGTAAAGGGGGATCGTTGGAAGTAGCAATAGAAAATGGGAAATTCATTATGTCCAATGGATTTATTTTGAAATATTACTGGTAATCGTGGTAGGAAGCGAATATTACTAGTATTACACCAGCGATGGACAATGCACTATTCAGTGGTTACTAGTGAACCAAGTGCGTACCTTGTTAAATTATTTTTCTTTTTTTCTCTATGGCTGTGTTATTTTGTTTCATAATAGCCTACGACGTATAAGTGTGTATATTTTCTGTATCCACAACTAGTAATATAGATTTTTTTTGCTCAAATTCATATATATATTTTGAGAAAAAATTTATTCTTGATTACTTAATTTTAAAATTTTATTATGAATCTTGTTTTATATATTGAATTCCAAGAATTTTTTTTTAAATATTTATATAGAATTTTTTCATCTATATGTTATTTTAATAAATACATTTGATAAAAATACTTAATTATATTCATTATTACATAAATAAATACTTAGGTAATATTTATTATGTTGGTATTTGTTTTTATAAAATTATTTAAACATCATATAAACAATTATAGTAGGTATTAATTTTTAACAATTTTCCCATTAAGATACTTTTCAAACCATTTTATTAGTGTTTTTATTTCTCATATAGTAGTTTTCTATAAATAATTATTGCATTACTTAAAAAAAAAAACAAGGTTTCTATAATGATAATAATTTATTTTTTGGCTAAAAAACTATAACTGAGTCTTGTTAATGAAATATATTCACGTTCTTAAAGTTCGTTGAGTAATTTTGTTCAAACATTTGCCATGGTGTACTCGTATATATTTTGTTTCTTGTTTTTTAAAAAGTTATAACTACTTATAGCTAGTCTAGATATTATCTACTAGTGTAGATAATCTAACTAGGTTAAAATATTAATACTTAAAATATTAAATGAAAATAATTGACTGTAGGTATTCAATCTAATTTTTGATAATTTACAAATTCATAATCTTATCGTTTGAATATATAATTTAAACATGTATAAGTATTGCAATTTATATACTTTTATTTATATGTTAACCATGTATCATATGATGTTTTTTATAACTTTTATATTCAAATGTTATATTTGTAAGAAGTGTTTTGTCGTTTTCTGAATAGAAATACATTAGGTGTTATGGATAGATTCAAGTACAAAAATATGTATGAATAGCTCCGTACATTGTACACTAACAACTTTTGTAGCTAGTGATAAGAATGCACCACCAGGGACTTATTTTTTATTTAATTTCCCATCATACCTGGTGTGTCTCTACTGCGCTGTACAATTTGTCTCTTGAGAGCCATTTATCTCGATTTGGCTTCTTTCACCTCCAGTCCAAAAGTGCTTTTAACCGATTTCGTTGACTCTGGTATCCTTTTAACTTTTATGCATATTCTCTATAAAAGGTTTTTTTAATACCTTTACGTTAAGAAAAATCATCGATTTTGATACGTTATTTTGCTCGTATTCTTTCCTAGCTTGATAATATTTATTTTTTTTAGTGAAATTGCGTTTGAAAATGTTTTAAAATGATAGTTTTTATTCAAAATTATGTAACTGTATATCATTTTTTAGATTAAAATATAAAATCGTTCTGAATATTAATTGATTTGATTTCCTATTTAAGAAATATTAGTGATCATATTTGGAAAATTACTTTGAATCCATTCAAATTATAAATACTTGTTAATATTCTCAATTATTTTTTTAACCCGTGGTTTTCATGTGTTATAACTTAAAGTAACTATGTCGATAATATATACGTATAATGTAAGTTCATATTTTTTGGAGCTTATCAAAGTAATTTTAGGTATAATTTTAACTGCGAGCTGTTAGCAATTTTGATGGTAGCATAATATTGTGTTGCCCCTTGTAATAATATTCTAAAAATATATTTTTAAAGGTGTTTAAATTTTCATAAAAACGGATTTTTTAGTAAGTAAATACATTCAGAAAACCTCGACTTATATACGGATTTAGACATCATTTCACCTGGGGGATTAACCATTTCTACAAACTGTGATTGGAAAGCTGCCAAAGTATATACTGTTCACTTTTATTAACGTCCGGTGCCTTTTTTTAATTTTCTTTTTAAATTTTGTGCAACTATTTTTTCTTCAGACTAATTTTGAAACCTTTATAAACTAATTAATAGACTAATATAAATGAAAAAGTATCGAATCTTCAAGTAACTACATTTTATTGAAAATAATAATGATAAAACCATTGATTAAATATAGTATATTTAATCAATGGTATAACTTTGTTTAACGAATAAATTAAATTGGTATTAATTTATCTTCTAAAACATTAATCGACTATCTCTTATGTTTTTGCTTTACATTATTTTGGAACACACACTCATCGTGTCCAAATAATTTAAAAGTAGATATAACTATATCTATGTAGGTAGCGTCAAGTTAGATTTAGTACTTGTCTGGTTGCATAAACGTGACGGTTTTAGAATCCCCAGAGGCATACATAAAACCCCATAAAGTTTCATAAAAAACGAAAGAACAAATGACTGGCTTCGATCCTGTAGGTAAAGGTGGTGCTTAGTATGTTATAGTTATATGTGTGTATGTATTTGTGGAGGGTTTTGTGGTTAGACAAATCGCAGTGTAAAGAAGAAAGAATAAGGGTGAAATGTGTACTATATTTTCTTTTTACCCTCGACTAATTTAGATAAAATGCTTCTAGAAAAGACGCATAGTTCAAGACAGTAACCGACAACGTAGGAATCCGTATGGTCTATAATATGTGTTTTTGTTCCTTTAAACACGTTTGTTTCAATTCTTTTTTGATTGCTAACCACAAGGGAACGATTTTCAATAACAGTAATGCGATTTACCTAGTTAGTTTTATTTTTATCTCGGTAAAATGTTACAAATTTATTAGCTTATTTATTTAACTATTTTAAATAACGTGAACAATAATTGTTATGTATTATTATGAGTAAATTGTGTAAAATGTATAGGTTAGCATGTTTTAATAAATAATACAAATTAACATACATTGGTTTATCTCGATTGTTATTAAGTTATGCTATAAGTTCTTTATATGTTTTACATTATTTAGCTTAACAATAGTTTTTTGTTGTTAATGTTATCATATTTAA